TACAAGATTAATATTTAATATGATAAGAAATTATTAATGATATTTTCACAGAATAACTAATTAAATTTTTTTATAACGATTTATTAATTTTATTTCTAGATCAAATATATTTGATTTTGTTACAATTATGGATTCATATAATCATTTTAAAACCTATAAATAATGATTACCATCAAAAATTTACTAATCTATAAAAACAAATTTTTAAAATATAAGCACACTATTTATTAAATATATATTTTCTTATTTCTTTATTTTTACTAATAATCTATGTAAATTACTGTCAATAAGTGGATCCAGGCTTATCCACAAGAGATACAATGACAGTAGGGTAAATTTTACTGCCAAACAGTGGATGCAAATTCACTGCACTGGATACGCCCTCTTTTGGGTGGTGGAGGCCACTTAATTGAGTGTTTCACCAGTGAGGGACAAGACAAGCTACCAGTTCTAACACATTTTACAAAGTATGTCTCTTCTAGGAGTAAAACAATTAATGAAATGTTCTCTAAATTTATTATCAAAAACATTTTTAAAGTAAGCTTTGATAATATTCATGTTAGGAGGAGGATTCTGAATATAATACGAATGGCATGCTATTTTGACTTCCCCTTAATACTCAATTCTAATTGCGATTTATACCTAATAAATTAAGGCTCTGGATTCTGACCTATAGCAATTATTTTTGCTAATAATCTTCTAAATAGCCAAAATGGGATGTATACCTCCACAGAGTTTTTATGACATAATCAGGTTGACCCCATATTTGATTTTAATCTATGATAGGATGTCTTTGTTTAAAAGAGTATATATGAAGGTCTTAAAAGCATGTAAATAATTTTTTAAGATAAGTGAAGGTTTTATATGAAATTCATGTGTATATTTAGAACGCCTTTATTTAACAGCAATAAGTGGTGTCATATAAAGTTATTTTATTTTTTTATTCAACACCCTTGTTTATTTTTCTTTAACAAATAAATATTAAAAAAAAGTTGTTTATTATTTTTTTTAATAAATTTATTTTTACCTATTTTTTTTATCTAATGGAAAAAATGGTAATTTTAAAATTGATGCTTTTATTATTTAATATATTTTTATTTAATAGGAATTAAGATATAATTTAGAACTAAAAGATTTTTCTACTTTAAAACAGTGAGTAATTATGAGAAGAATACCTTTTCAAATTATATTTAAAACATATTCCAATAGTATGGACCACAATTTATAACCCAGATTGAAATTTTTCAAATATATTAGCACATGCATATCTTAGAAATATTCATGAAAAGTTATTAATCTAATAATTGTTTAAATTTTTTATAGATGTTGAGGAATTTAACAATATTCCCAAACAATAGGGCCAATTAATGTGATTAATTGAATGTCTTATTTAATCATGAATTAGGTTTTTATTATAATCTTTTGATACTATTAAAAATGTAATATTTCATTATATAAATTAACCTTCATGCAATTTTGTCATAATATTCGTTTAATAAATTTAAAAAAAATTAATGTTAATAAAGTAAAACAACTTATATATCCTGGTACACCAGACTTGTTATGCTTTTCATATTTATATAGATGCATGGCCTAAGCGTAATGTTCTAAGATTTATAAATACAATTTTTTATTTTAATCATGTAAGGTGAATGTAATATCAAAATTTACTAAATAATATTTATTCAGTTTGATATTTTATATATAAAAGTAAAATATTTTTGTTAGCTTATTAAGACATGGTGACAGATTTCTTAATCAAATCCCAAATATGCTATTATTTTTTTACATAACATAAAAATAAATTGGCTGAAAGATACTAAAATAAATTGCAAGGGACTTGTGAAAAACATGAACATCAATGTCTACAGCTTATTCTTATGCCATTGAATTAAAATCCAGGAAAGGCTTCAAATTTTGATCTCTTCAATAAATTGTTTCAAATAATTCTTAATTTTATAACTTTGCTAATTATGTTACCCCTATTATTTCTATTTATAGGATTTTCACAACCTGTTTTATACTTTGTTTAAATCATTTAAACCTAAAAATTTACTTTATTTTAATATTTATTATATTGTGTAATTTTTATATTATTTTTAATGGTGATCAGGCATTGCAAAAAACTATTCTATGAATCCTCCTATGAATATATCTTAAACAATATAATTTAACATAAAGAATTATTTTTATTGTTTTTTTTTGTCAGAAATATTGAATGTTTGTTATTTATAACACAAGAATCTATTTTATATTTTTTATTCTATATTTTAGAAATATATAGAAAAAAATTTGTAAGAATACAATAATATATTATAATTCTATGTTGTATTCCATATCAAATCAACTGAAGATTCAACCCGACCCTCTTCGATTTTTTTTTAAAATTTGCATGATGGTAGCATATACACTAACTAGCAATAATATAAAATTTTAATTCTCAACTCAGCTTACTTCAGAGATATGGCCATCTTTAGAAACGCGAAAAGTTCAAAATACACCATATTTAATTTTAAATATCTCAAAAAGTAATTAAGCTAAAGGTATAATTTAAACTTTATTAAATAACTCGAGAATAGCCCTTTAATATGATATAAAATTTATTATATTAAAAATAATTTTATTACCAAAAACCGGAAATAGAAAACCGGAAATGGTTATAAAATAAAAATTGCCCTTTTTTTCTTTCAAAATTTTTTAACAAATAGACATTATATATCTTAATATTTGTACAAAATCCTAGATTGGGACCATTACTGGGCCAATAGTTATTACGCTTTAAATATAAATAGTATGGCTTAAATTCTATATTATACGAAATGAGTAATTATTTTTTTAACAAAAGTGATAATATTTGTGAATAATAGTATTAAAACTGAAATCCGAACCCCATCTTATAATTTATATTCCCCCCCCCCCCCCCAAAAAAAAAATTTTTCTTCTTAAATTCGAGATTTTTGACCTGGCAATTCTATGAGAGAATTATGTAGATTATTTTCTTTGCCGGATAAAAAATTATCTTTGTGATCGTCAGAAATATATTTTCATAAAGATTATTTTCTACTTATAATTAATTATCAACTATCCATTTCCTCCCTTAAAAGATTATAAACATTACATTACACAAAGTCTATGCAATCCAGCCCAACCTTGCTGTTACTTAAAGAAATGCCAAATGTGTCCCGGCACTTTGGAAAAAGAAAGATTACATTTATTGTTTGATAATAATGCCAAAGATTATATAACATTTAAACAATGGTTGGCGGCAGACCGTACCACCCTCGAAACGTTAACTAAGTCCGGCAGCGAATTTGTGGAGTATTTGATTGAAAAATTAAATATTTTAATTCCTCATGCATTTATTTCTTCGGAACAATCTTCATTTTTTAAGTCATTAAAATCGAATTTGAAGGATGGGGAATATCTAATAATATCCGATTTTGCAGAGAACTACGCTTTTGTAGTTCAAGATCACGCTCAAGGCTTCCATTGGACTAATAATCAGGCAACACTTCATCCATTTATGATTTATTACTGCGAAAGCGGTACCATCAAACATATAAGTTACGTAGTTATATCAGATTGTCTAAAACACAATACTTGTTCCTTTTATTTATTTCAAATAAATTTAATTCAATTCTTGAAAGAAAGATTTGATAAGATTTCAATAATTTATTATTTTTCTGATGGAGCCGTTACCCAGAGAACAAAAAAAACTTTGTAAACCTCTACAACCATTATAATGATTTTGGGATCAAGGCAGAATGGCATTTTTTTGCAACTGCACATGGCAAAACTCTTTGCGATAGTTTAGGGGGAATTACAAAGAGGTTGGCTGCTAGAGCAAGCCTGCAACGTCCTTATGAAAATCATATATTAACTCCTATGGATTTATATAATTATGCGAGAATTAATATCCCGGGTATTAATTATACATATCAGCAACGTTGAATATTTAAGAATGGAAACCAATCTCGAAAATAGATTTTTAACGGCCAAACTAATTCCCGGGACACAAAAATATCATTCATTTATTCCAATGGAAGGAAAAATGAAAGTCAAACGTTATTCTAATTCATTAGATAATTTAATGTATCATATTATTTTATTTAATATGTTTATAACAATATTAATTTTCCATTTGTAATCATGTAATATAAATAATTAGCTAAATAAAGTTATAAATATTTTTACAATTATTTTCTCTCTTAAATAAAATCGCTAAACTTATATGTTAAATATGACATAATGTCTACTAGTGGGCTCACAGCCCGAAATATTTATAAAAAAAATATAATCGGCCCGATCATAAAGGAATTTTCTTTTTATGTGTTTCGTAAATTACTATATATTTGGTATAATTTAGGATTTAAGCCATACTATTTATATTTAAAGCGTAATAACTATTGGCCCAGTAATGGTCCCAATCTAAAATTTTGTACAAATATTAAGAAGTATAATGTCTATTTGCAAAAAAAATTTGAAAGAAAATAAAAGAGCAATTTTTATTTTATAACCATTTCCGGTTTTTGGTAATAAAATTATTTTTAATATAATAAATTTTATATCATATTAAAGGGCTATTCTAGAGCTATTTAATAAAATTTAAATTATGCCTTCAGCTTAATTACTTTTTGAGATATTTAAAATTAAATATACTGTATTTTGGAATTTTCGCGTTTCTAAAGATGGCCATATCTCATGAAGTAAGCCGATTTGAAAAGTAAAATTTTACATTTTTATTAGTTAGTGTATATACTACCAACATACAAATTTTTAAAAAAATCGAAGGGGGTCGGGTTGAGAATCGACTTTTTTTGGTTGATTTAATATGGAATACAACATATATAAAATTAAAATTATGTATTGTAAAATACAATAATATAGTATAATTGTAAATATATATACAGAAATAAAATTTGATATAATAGAATACAATATAAATTATAGTTTGCTTTTTATTAGGTTTTTGAAATCTTGATTGTATTGTTTTCTGGAAGCTCTATTAGATTGTATTTGGTTCTTATATATTTTTAAATTTAATATAAACATTCTAAATATATAATAACTATTTGTTTTATTTATGGTTTCCTAAAAAAATTTTGAAAGATTTTGAAGAGAATATCCAGTGTAGTCTAAAGTTTTGGTTGCTATAATTTTTGTTATATAAAATAAAGGAAAAATGTTTACTATTTGGTAGCTTAATTTGAGTGCCTAAGATATTTTTTGAAATATTTTGAGATAAAGAGAATTCGAATGCTATTTTTATTTTATATATAATAAAAATTAAAACACAAAATATACTAGCTGGAATAGTTTTTGACTGAGGGCCTAAATTTTTAGGTATATTTTGAAAATGATATTGGGAATATAAGTTTGTTGCTATTTTTTTGTTATATTAAATATAGAAAAGTAAAATGTTTACTCTCTGGTATCTTAACTTGAGCGCCTAACATATTTTTTGAAATAATTTGAGATGAAGATAATTTGATTGCTAATGTATTTTAATAAACAATAAACATTTAATTTTTAGTGATACCATATAGTTGAGTGTTTTCTGTATTGGAAGCTGGTAGGTTAATCGTTTCAGTCATATTTTGATTAGCTTGGGAAAAATCTTTTTTTAAAATACATGTATATTATAATATCATTTTTAAAATTTGCTAACTGTGAAATAATTTATAAAAATTAATAAAAATCTTTTAGTTCTAAATTATATCTTAATTCCTATTAAAAAAAAATATATTAAATAATAAAAGCATCAATTTTAAAATTACCATCCATTAGATAAAAAAAATACGTAAAAAAAATAATAAACAACTTTTTTTTAATATTTATTTGTTAAAGAAAAAAAAACAAGCGTGTTGAATAAAAAAATTAAAAAATAAAATAACTTTATATGACACCATTTATTGCTGATAAATAAAGGTGTTCGTATATTTAATAGTTTTTCATCACTTAATTATATAAAATACCATGATATATTTCTTAAAAAATCATATTTAATATTATTAAAAAACTGGAGATAGAATAATTACCAAATTTTATTTTTATTATTTTAAGAAATATTATCTCTTTAATCCAAAAATTTTATTGAATAATAATTACTATTGTAAACAAGACAACAGAAAAATTTTATTTTAAAAATTTAAATATAATATTATAATGAAATAAATAGAAATTTTGGTAATGTTATTTTTCTTAAAACTAGTAGATACCCCGTCAAAAATGACGGAGAAGGAGATTTTTATTCGTATTTTTAAGAAAGATGTTACCTTTTATTTCAAAATCATATCCAATTTATTTTATTTTAATCCCCCCCTCCCCATTTAGGTCAGGTCCAACCCATTAGGACTAAGAGTGGAAACTATTTTTTGAGTCAAAATATATTTAAATGAGCTTTTACCCAATATCAAAATTCTTTGTAAATATATTACTGATTACATAAGATTAACATTTAACATTAAAAAATTTCAAGCTAGGTCCAAGCTCATAATATTTGGAAAAAATTTCCAAGCGTCCAAGACCTTATAATTTAAAAAAAAACATTCTCAAGCCTAGCTCAACCCATAATAATTTTGAAAATTTTTTCCTAGCCCGGCACATAATAATTTGTAAAAGATATTCCCAAGTCAGGTGCAAGCAAATATTAATCTTGAGGAATATTTTCCAAGCCCAGTCCAACCCATATTAATTTTCAAAACTTTTTCCCAAACCCGGAGATAGTTAAATTTCTAAATAATTTATCATCACATGAAGGGGAAATCTCGGATAGTGGGTTAACTCCTTTTATCAAAAAATTTGAAAAGGGCTATCTATATCTTTATGTTAAGTACAAAAAATGCTATCTATTTAAATTACAAAAATGCCATTCAATACTAATGAAACTTATATGCAATTTATTTATATATTTTTTAAGAAATTTGTTTTTCTTGCCATATAAATTTCGGTAATTTTTTAAATAAATGATGAGGATTAATTATTATTTTGTGTGTCTGATAAAATTAAGAGCAAATCCTTTATGACATTTTAACTTTTGATGGAAAAAGCGACAAAATAAATCTGGGCAGTCGTCTGCAGAGGAAATAATTAATGTATAAAATCATCCCATTTAGGGTTGTAGGTGAAAGTAATGAATAATGACGGATTACCAGAGCAGTGTACAACACCCATTGCGTCCTGATAAAGCTGAGCCCTTGGGCTACTGGTAAAAGAAGAATGCAAAATGATATTTCTGCCAAAGTGTATCTCCCTCTAAAATGGAATCATGAACGACATTGTCAACTCAATGATAAAACGGTCGTAAGTATTGTTATAAAGGCCATGACAAAACTACCGCATATTTCCTCATTAATAATGTTAATGAAATTGGCCGCACTACGCATTCACGTTTGAACATCCCTCTAAATATTCATGAAAGTTCCTCAGGGAATCGGATAAAGTATTATTTATATTAACTCCAAGTGAGGTGAATGATAGTGGAATTAAATGCTTATATTTGTTAAAAATTAGGCAGAGGTAGCATAGGGATTATGGCAGTGGTGATAGAAATATCATTTGGAGGCAACTGGGTGAATATAAAATAAACATATAGATATAAAACATTAGATAAAAAACAAAATAAACCTCAAGAGGAGTTCACAGTTCCTTATTTTCTTGGCCACCAGTAACTCTAGAACGGGTAAGGCGTTTGTTGAATCGCCATTTTTTTCTTTGCTTATCTTTAATAATAGATTCATCATGTTTTGTAACAATGTGAGGGATTAAAATTGGGTTAGACAAATAAAGAAATCAGCCATAAATATAAATTGTTGAAATTAAACAAACATTAATATACTGTAAACCTGTAGAGGAGTCAATATTAGAAGTATATTTCTAGTAATTGGGGGGCTATAATCAAAAAAATTATTTTGGGGACTTATCAAGCCTATCATCTAAAGGTTTATTTTGCATTTGTTCATTATTAATGGCTGATATATCAATATTTGAACAATTATAAAGAGGAAATAAGATGGGGATAGTTAACTAAAGTAAAAACAAAACAATTCTCAAGTTAATTTTATAAGGTAGGATTAAAATAAAATACCATTCGGAGAGTCCAATTGGCAAATTAAAAGAAAATAGGAACCTTGTGAATAGATATAGAATAATTTAAATAATATAAATACCATAGTATGTATTTTGTTTTGTAATAAATGTAAAATCCTAAAGATATGTCTTTTTTATTGAGTTATACAAAAAAATTAGTGAGAATAAAAAGGAATATTGTTAAAAAGGTAGGATCCTTAAGAATAAATATATAATTTTAATTGAATAAAAAAAATATTGTAATATATTTATATCGATTTTTTGGATAGATATAAAATCCTATATAAAATTATTTATAATAAAAATAATGTACTTATTTTTTGGTGAGTTATACAAAATAATCAGCATAGAGAATAGAGCAATTGTGGATCTGACAAAAGGCAAGCTTTTAAAAAAGTAGGATCCTTAAAAATTGATGTATTAATTTAGTTAAATGCTAAAAATAATGTACTTTGGATATTTTTCTGTTAGTTAGACAAAATATTCATCAGAGATAAAAGGACATATTGTGCGGCCCGGCAAAATTGATAGCTTTAAAAATACGTAGGATGCAAATTTATTTAAATTATAAAAAAATATCATACTAAGTATTGTAAATGGAAAGAAAATAGGGAAATTAAAAGGGAAAGGAAGCTAAAGAGAAAGAAATAGGAAAATTAAAAAGTTTGAGAAAGATAAAGATAATAAAAGAAATTAAAAGGGAAGGAAAGATAGAATAGTTTTTTTAAATTTTTTATCAGGCTGATTTTTCACATATTATTAAAGACTTTTGTTAAAATAATTAATGTTAGTGGCATCTTCAATAATTATATATATGTTGTCGGCGTAGCATAGCCAGTCTACATTTTGTACTGGTATTTGTGATGTCACTATTTAGTAGATTGAAAATGGGGGGTGGCACATCCATGTTTTATACCACTTTTGTTTAAAAAAAGGTAGGGTTAATCTTTTGTGTTTTGAAACTATTTTCATAAATATTTATAATAATTTTGAATGTGTGTAGCTGGAATGGGAAAATTTAAATTATTGATGTTATACTTTTTGTAAACTAAGGGTGTATGATGATTGTTTGATTTGTAAAAACTCATTTTTATAAATTAAAAATATTATTTACCCTTACTTTGTTTTTCTTCTTAAAATAAATATGGGCTGAATTAATAATTGAATGATATTTATTTTTTGATATCAACCCTTGTAAAAACTCATTTTAATAAATAAAAAATAATAATTTACCAGGATAATAGTTGCTTAATCAGCATCTGTACTATCATTAAGAGAGGTTAAGACAGGGCTTGTTATCTAAAACAAAAACATAAGAATAATTTTTAAAATATTAATGAATTAAACCTGAAGAGGAATCAATATTAGGTTCAACCCTCTAGAAAGAGTGGGAATATCATCAGAAGCTAAAATTGATGTATTCTAAATGTAAAAAAAATATAAGCATTTATAATTTAATTTACTTGAAAGAATTGAATATGGGTTGAATTAATAAATGAATGATATTTAATTTTTGATATCATAAATTATAAATATTATTTACCAGGATATAATAGTTGCTTTTTATTTGAGTCTTGCTTTTATAAAAAATAAATAAATTAATAAAAATAAATAAATACGTAGCGATGACATGACGTCACAATGACGTAGGGAGGACATCGGAAAATTATAATATAGATAATAATAAAAAATATTCTTTTTAATTTTTTGTTTTTTAATAGTAATATCAGGATCTTTATAAAAAAACCATACAATCAGTTAAAATAACTCTTAATTCCATTTACATAATACTTGAAAACGTTTTAAAGAATCATGCTGGATGAATTGATTATTTTTTTGTTAATAAAATAATATATTTTTATCAATAAGAAAAAATAGGGAGATAGAATAATCTAATAGAAGCTATAATTTATATATAAGTTAAAATTCTAAGATTTTTTTAAATCTATCAAAAAAAATTATTTTTAACAAAAATGGAGACAGAATAACCTCTAACTAAGGTGACAAAATATTTTAATGATTGAAAATGGTTTAACATTTTAATCAAAGATATTAATGGGGAGGCTAACAGCCCATGGGGTGCCAGGTATAATATATTTACTAACGTGCCTGGGCCAGGACATAGTTTTTGATAAAAAGCCTAAAAATATTTCATTTAAATTTGGCCTAACTTAAAAATATATTGCATTTTTTTTCTTCGAATGATAATAAATTTTAGTATTGCAAACAAAGTGATTGCCTAAATACACTTAAATATTGTTTATTTTTATTTAAAACAATAAGGATATGGGCTTGGGCAAAATCTTTGAAATTTATGACGGGCGGGTTTAAATATTTTATTAAATATAGACTGGGCCTGCTAATTATTTTTACTGCTGATCTGGGCTGAAGACTGAAAATAAATTAATCAGGGCCCATGAAGGTTTCTAACTTCAATAACTGAATTATTTGATTTGCTATCTGACTTAATTTAACCTAAAGAAATGGACAAACCACAGATATGCCTTATTTAAATCATTTGCAAAAAAATTTATGATAATTGCTGGATTCAAGCAATTGTTGGACACAAGGATATAAAGAAAGCAATTGTGAAGTGTATATATGTAATAATAATCCATTTTTATTTTAGTAAATAACAAAAAAAAAATAATGCCTATTGTGACCTTGCCTTTTACATATATTTTAAGGATTTTTTAAGAACCCGTTATCAAAAATATAAGTTACTACCTGATAGCCTGTCAATAATGACGGGGAATCAGAATTTTCTTATTTATTCAAGGATGAATGATTAATAAATTTTACCTTTATTTGATGATGAATGAATTAGAAATTTTCCTATATTATGAGATTGATGCAGAAATTTATATTTATTTAGATGAGGATTTATTCTAAAATTTTCTATTATTTTTTATAAAATATGTTTACGAAATGAAGTATATGGTTAGTAATTATAATTTATGTGCACAATAATAGGCGTAGCAGGGGGGGGGCAAGGGCAAATCCCCCCCTCCCTTTAGAAAATTATAACTTTTTGTGAATATCATTTTAGGCTAATAAAAAATATCCCCCTTAGTGCTCCTCCCAATTCCAGACTTCAAAAATGTATGCATATATCTGAAATAATAATTTGAAAGAAAGAATGTAAAAGTTGATATTTTTTTATAAATTCAACATAATTTATACATTTTTGGAAAAAAGCATTTATATATAAAAAAAGTGAACCAAAAATGCTTTTTAAGAAATGGAATTTAAGCCAAAGATAAGTCTTAAGACAAAAGTGAAATGTATTATAATTATTAATAATAGATCCATAAAATTGCTAAATAATAATATATCAAATATAATTTTTTATAAAGTGAGTAATTTTAATTTATTTATCTTAATAAAAGTAATATATAATTATAAAACTATTGATATAATTAAATCATAAATTAAATAAAAAAGTCAAAGCACGATAGCACGATACAAACAGTGAAATATTATATGTAATCATATGACAATCAAGTAATTCTTACCAATATAGCGAATTATATATTTTACATAAAACTATAAAATATTGATAAGGACATCAGAAAATATCTTTTAAATACATTGTGGGATGATGAATAATTTAAAGATTAATTTTTATTTTTTATAAAATAAATAGATGGCGTTAAATAATTGATGGCAAATTGGTGCTATATTTATTATCAAGAGCATTGATTACTAAAATTTGTTAAAATATTAACTGTAATATATTCTCTAACTTTCAAATATGTCTTTAAAAGAGGAATTTTACCTAGTATTTTGTAACTAATTCTATATAATAGAGGAATATCAACTATATGTCTACTTACTTTTTATAAATAAATTTCTTATACTTGTTTGGAATAAATAATTACAATGCTTTTATATTAATGTATATACAAGTAATTTATTATATTTTAGATAAACTAATAAAAATATATTTCATATTTGTTCCAGGCTTATTTTTTACTAAAATTAACCTACCTATAATCTTGTAAAAATATTTTATGACTATAGATAGACTAAGTTAACTCGGCCGAAGGGGCAAAAGAGGGCCGAAGGCACGCCTAAAATGGGTTGTCTGGGGGCAAAACCCCCAGTAATTTTTTATTCCCCCCCTTTAAGAA